AAAACGGCAGTAGCTGAATTGCTTCAACAGCAGTGGGTGGGCAATTGGGGTCATATAACATAGTTGTATGAGTTCGAAGCAACTTATAAGACATTCAATGAAGCTCTCAGACACTCGGGCTGAGTATTCAGTGAGCATATAGTACAATCACTACTGTTGAAGCAATTCAGCTACTGCCGTTTTTGGCATGCTTAGTCAGACTCGGTGATCTCGGGGAGACGATTTGTTCCAGCCGTCCTATAGCGTTCTCCTCCTCTTGTTCGTTCTGTATCCGGTAATTCTCATATAATACATTTTCTTACATAATATTTCACTTCTGCCCTAGTAATTAGAGGAGCGCGAACGCTAAGGACGGGTGGTTTAGGAGCCTGCCGCACAAGTCGAACTCGTACGCTATGGCTGGTCGCTATCTGGTGGTAGCGTCCCTGTTGGCGTCCACTTATGCCTTCTCGAACACGTACCCACTTATTGCATGGGCTTCAGATAGGTGAGTGCTATCATATATCCCTGTTTTGGTCTACCTTGATTAACCGTGAACGGAACGCTGCAGTCTAACACTACCCGAGAGCGTTTCGTCGCCTTCCCTCGAGCCAGTCCTGAATAGTTTTGGACACTTAGAGACTGTGTGCGAGAACGACGTGATAGTCGTTGTCGAGCAGCCCGGGGTACGCACTGTAGCCTTCCACCTTTCGCCCCACGTCTAATGACCTAGTAGCTGCACGCCTCGGACTTGCGGACGCTGTCACCCTCAGCGCCTCTCAGCCTGGCCCTCAAGGGCGCTGCTTCGACGCTCCAGCTCCCTTACCTTCGCCGAAGCTCCGATGCATCCCTCTCTGAATTCGTAGAGCGCATCTCGCAAAGATGCAACCTCCCCGTCATTAGCCTCTCAGGCAGCGACGTCGACCGTCTTCACCAAGTCGTGAGGGGCCGGTCACGATACATTATTTACGTCGAGTTCCCCGAGATTTCTTCGGAGTCGGCTTGGAGGAGAAGCCTCGACATAAATCAACGATGTAAGTAGCCCTATATAAAGTCTTCGGCTTCCCTGACGTCAGACCCAGCAGCAAATCTGTACAACCACCTGCAGTTCCTACCCGCATCGTCCAAGCATCTCGTGCTCCTCGCCGGCGCACCCAGGCAGGAAGACTGCTCCGACGGCCACTGCCTCTCGCCCGAGGTTGACATCCCCTCCCCCGCATTCATGGCACCGAGCAACACCACCGTCCCCGGGGGCGGCATCCTCAAACGCTACCAGCTCCTCACCCCCGCCCTGATCATGACCCTCATCGTCGCGTTATTTGTCATCGTTCCCGTAGTTTACTTGGGCATCTCTGCTTTGGCGAGCATCCAGGCCCCGGCGCGGATGGAGCCGCCGAAGCGGTTCAATGCCCAGGAGAAGAAGACGCAGTAGTGGGCTTCATGATCTGCTTTGCTTGTGTCTCCGACGGTTGAGGGAGGCAGCAATGCAATGATGTTACTACAATGATACCAATACATGATGCGCTAATTTCCATACAAGTCCGAATGCGAGGGGAACATTTTCTATGTGCAATGAATGTGTGATGAATGTACAGTGAAGACCCATGGATCCGAAAAGGCGAAAGACTAAGACTGTCCTTGGGTTATTGCTCCAGAATATCAAGATCGTGAGCAAGATGCACTTTCTCCAGTGCAGCAAGGTGAAGGGGCAATGTCGGCGCGTTTGCGATATGTCTCGCCTTAGCGAGGAGCGCCAATTCGTAGAAATTAGATGTTACATCGCGTAGCGTGTCCTTGTCAGATACTGTAAACGGTGAATCGATAGGCGTGGCAGAGTGAAGCAGGTGAACGTTGAGCATGCTGATGGACGTGTGGTCAGTACCGGCTGGGACATAGACTAAGGTGCTCGACAGAGCAGGGAGTGCGCCGATGTCTGTGTCAGCAGAGTCCCCAGTGAGCTCCGGTACACAGGACACGTCGTAACTGTAGTCAAGAGTCGGCGGTGTCAATGGAAAGGTGTATATTCCCGGAGGATTCAGGGTATATGCTGTCCAGGACGCATCCAGGAAAGTCGTCCCATGAGTATCCTTGGACGCATGCCGCTGAGGCGATATAGGCTTGGACTGCTTGCGTTCTGGGGCAAGGAACGTCCAAGAGTTGCCTTGCTCCGCGACCATGACACTGGCATGCAGAGAGACGTCGAGAGAATCCGCGACTGCAACCCGCAGACGTGATATCCAAACTAGCGGCACAATGTCTATCAGCCTCATTCCTCAAGATGCACACCGTGAAGCTCACCTTGTAGTTCGTCTTCGGCCATGAACCCAAGCTTGGTGACGACGACTCTCCAGTCGACGCTCGCTCGGCGCGCCATTTGGCAAGCAAAGCCCCAGACCCGGTCAACCACTTGCTCTTCCTTCCGGTCCTCTGGGTATAACCAGACGCCGACATCATATCCCTCCCCACGTTGATCTACACACGTCGCTAGAAGCCACTTCCCGCACTCAGAAATGCGATATCCAACGTGGAGAAGAGTATGTCTGTCCGCCACATCCAACGTGCGTAGATGGCCTTCGCGCAGGAACAGCGCGGAATTGTGGAGGGCACGAGCAGCTACGAATGCGGGCTCCTGGACATAAGCCCTGCGAGGCTCCAGTTGCTCGACTTGGGGTCGCGCAGTGTAGCGATCCACGGGACGCAGGATCCTATCATACACACTGTGCACTAGAATGTCGGTAGGCGAGTCGCGGGATGTCGCATACGCACTCGCGAAAACAAGGTGCTCGGGAACCAGATGGAAGAGGATCTGTTTCTCCGTATGTGACTTGAGCGTTCGCTTCGTCGCTGAGAATATTTGTCGAAGAACTGGAGAAGACAAGGCCATGATCGACGCGGGCGTCACGACATAGAAGACGATATTGCTAGTATCGACTGCCAGCGATGCAACGAAATTGACCAAAGTCTTTCGGATGCTCTCTAGTTTGAGGGGAACGATACCGTCTCGAGTGCACTCTGCGGCCTTGCCAGCAACATGACAACCCAGATTCCTCGCCTGAAACAAGAGTCCAAGTTAAGTTCTAAACAAGTGAAACGAGAACTGATTGAGCTACCTTGTACCGGGATGAGACTTTGGTCAACCAAGACTCGACCTGCTGTACCTTCGAGTCCCCTTCATCTTCGAAGAAAACAAAGGCAGACACGTCCTTCTTGCCGTTCCGAGGAGATAGACCTAGCTTTTCCCAGAACCGCAGCGCAGTATAACCTGTCTGTATAACTGCGTCGCTCTTGGTCACAGTCATCAGAGGCGGCTTCAGTCTCCTCAGCACCGCACTCTCCGAGCCTGTAGTATCAGAGCCAGCGTCGGACGCAAGGAGCTCCCTCACTTCCATCGACGGCGGGCAACCCTCCAACTTCGCGAGGAGCCGCAGGGCCTGGTGAGCATCGCTCTGCCACACCTCAGTGGCGGGCCCACTCGCCCGCTCCTCGTCCATCCTCTTGACCCGGCACGCCTGCGCCCACACGGGGTTCTCGATCTGCTCCTTCGCGAACATCAGCGCCGCCGCCTCCAGCGACTTGGACTTCTCCGACGCAGCGCTGAGCGCCGCCGCCGGCGACACGGGCGTCGGGACCGACATGGGCGGGGCGGCGGCGGGCGCGAGGGCCGCAGGCGCATCGGGCGGCCGGAGCGCGGAGCTGGCGGGGAGCAGCTGCGAGTGGTGGAACTGCGTGTGCAGGAGCGTCGGGCCGAGGGGGAGGTACGGCGGCAGGGGCGTCGACGGGCGGGACACCGAGCGCGACTCGTCGTCGTCGTCCATCCACCGGTCCTCCTCCTCCGATTCCGGCTCGGATTTGTCCTCCTCGGGCTCGTCCGGTGTGCACGGGAACCAGTCCTCGGGCTCCTGGATCCACGGCGGGGACAGCTTCATATCGCGCATGCCCTGCTCGATGCTCTTGCGCTTCACGCCAATGAGCTGGCGCACGACGCCCACCCTCGGGTCCGTCACCGCCGAGTACCTAAACTTCCACCCCCCCTCCTTCCCCTGCCACACCGCCATCTCCTTCCCATCTCTCTGCGCCTCCCCCACCGCGAACTTGCCCATCGCGTACTTGTCGTCCGACGCCTTGTGCGCCGGCGCGAACGGGATGGGGTCGAAGACGCGCGGCACGCCGAGGAGCAGCTGCGACGCGTGCGCCGGCGCGGCGAGCTGCACCGTCGGCGTCGGCGGGTCCGAGTACGCAGACGGGGTGCCTGCGGGCGAGGACGGGTCGAGCTCGGGCGGCGGCGCCGGCGTGTCCCCCGCTCCCATGCCCATCCCCAGCACCGGCCACGGGGAACTCTGGGTCTTCACGGGCGAAGCGGCGGCGAACCCGCGCATGCCCTCGCCGAACGCAGGGGGGGAGATGTTGAGCAGGCCCGCGTCGCCTGCGCTCGGGCGGTCGAAAAAGTTGAAGTCGTCCTCCGTGAAGACGTCGAAGGGCTCCGCGGGCTCGCCGTCGCCGAAGCCGTAGCCCATGAAGTCTGCAGACGAGGGCTGCGCCCAGGAGGGCTCGAAGGTCGTGAAGGTGTCGAAGGAAATTGGGTCGGGGTCCGGGTCCGGGTTAGGGGAGACAGAGGCAGATGCAGAGGGGGCGGGGAGGGTATCTGCGGGTTGGACGGCAGGTGAGGTGGATGGAGCGAGGGTGACGTCCATGTCCATGGGCGTCATCTCCGGAACGAGACTAGCAGAAGGGAGGGGTACAACCATCCCAAGCTCCTGTTCGACGACCATCGGACTCTCGCCCGCAGGACTACTACTCGGGGGGAAGATGGGCGTCTCCTCCGCCGCGACGGGCGTCTGGCCCACCGCCGCCGGCGTGGACAATGTCATGGGTGTAGGCGTCATCGGCGGGGCAGAGCGCATGGGCGACGACGCGTGCGCGCTCTCGCGCTCCCTCTTCAGCCGTTCGCGCTCCCGCTCGCGTTCGCGCGCGACGGCCTCGACGTACGCGGACGCTTCCGCGGCGACGGCGGGCATGTCCTTCCCGCCTGCTACGAGGGTCATGCATTTGAACGCCGCCTGGGTCTCCCCCGCGCGCGCGGTGAACACGCTGCTCCTCTTCAGCGACGGGCGGATGGGCTTGTTTCCTTGCGCTTGCACTTGGACGGCCGGTGCGTCGGGCGGTGGCGGGGGGACGGGCGAGGCCTGCAGCTCGGGCGGGAGCGCGGGGAGATAGGCTAGCGGCTTCCTCGCGCACTGCGCGGCGGGGTGGAACGCGACGCACAGCCGCGCGGGCCAGATGAGCGGGAGGCCCTTGTCCTCGCCCTGCTTGTTCTGCACGCCCACCCACGCGATGACGTACATCGGCCCTTTCCCCGGTGCGCTGTTCGTACTCGTGTAGGGCGGGGGCGAGGCCCAGTCGCCTGTGCCCAGCCCGGCGAGGGAGTCGGTGAATTGGGATGTGAGGACGGAGGTGGGCCCGGTGTAGGAGGAGAGGAGGTAGGCGGGGGTGCCGTAGGGGAGGAGGGTGATGGGGGTGCCTGGGGGGGAGGGGAGGTAGAACGGGAGGGGGTGGAAGGGCGTAGGGGTGAGGAGGGGTTTGATGATGAGGCGCGAGGGGGAGAGGTGGAGGTGGAGGTGGCAGTGGATGAGAGGTCTGGCATGAGCAAACGTGGTCATTGGTCAGCGTGCGGTCGCGGTATGATGAGTCGGGGCCGCACCTGCATTGGGCGTAGTGCTCCCAGCCGGAGCCCCACTCCGACGGACTCGAGGGGGGCCCGAGGAGGAAGCCGCGCTTGAATCGCTTGACGGGTCGCGCGTCCGAGGTGCTCTTGGATGCCTCGGCAATGTCGTCGATCAGGCGCTCGCGGACGGCTTGGAGGAACTGCGAGTAGACCTGTCGTAAGGGCCGGCGGGGGAACAGGCATGCTTCGGAGGGAATGTGGCAGGTGGATGCGGATGGGGTCGGACGGGTGCGCTCGAGGCAGGCGGGGCATGGCTCGCGGTGGTCTGCGCATTCGGCGGAGCATGGGTAGAGGCCTTGCGGGGAAAAGGCAGAGGATTCTGTGACTGGGGGTGGGTTAGTGGCGGGATTCGGACGGAAGGTAGCTGCACAAATTGGTCGCTCGAGTACGCGCAGAAGATGAATAAAGTATAGAGAGCGACAGACGGACCTCGGACATCGAGGAAGCGTAGCTCCTTCAGGCTCTTGTGGCAGTCCGAGGGGCCGTCGGACGAGCTGACGGCAAAGACGTAGAGGGATGAGCCGTCGTTGGATATTCGTACGCTGGGCAGCAGGGACTCTAGTACGGCGGGCTTGCGCAGCTGCAAGACGCTCCTCCGCGCGAGTTCAAGAGCATGCGTGTCTTGCGCGGTAAAGACGGAATACGCGATGAGGGGACTCGGAGGCAGGGGGATGGCCGAGGCGAGCAGATGGTTCGAGAGGAATATTCGAGGGGGAAACTGGGCGAGCAGCGCGGTCCCTGTGCTGTCGGGGCATGCGCTGGAAAGCTTTGTGGCCATGGGTGGTCGGTGTGGCGGGATATGCACTGGACCGGAGAATGCCGAGGGCGTCCAGCGTCGCGCGCTGTGGCACTGGCAGGCCCGACTTTGTCGCTCGCCACCAAAAACATGCAGTCCGGCTCCCGCCCTGCGTCGACATCGACCCGCCCCGCCCTGTCGCCCCTCCCGCGCCCGACGCAGCACGTCAACACTCAGACAAAGCTCCTCGACGCCGTCCATGGCAGGCTCCTCTGCGTCGCCGACATCCGCGGCCGCCTCTCCGCCTTGAACGACCTCGCGCGCGAGGTCAACGCCAGTGCCATCATCCACACCGGCGACTTTGGTTTCTTTGGTGCGTAACGTCCTTGCTCATCGTACGCGACGCTCATGCTGGCGGCAGAGGCGTCCAGTCTCGACAGAATCAACGACAGGACGCTCCGCCACCTCACCATGTACTCGCCGCTCATCCCGCAGGCCCAGCGCACCCACCTCCTCGAACCCCAAAACCCGCCCGCCCACATCCGCCAGACCGTCAACGTCTCCATGCTCTCCGAGTTCCCCCTCCTCCTCTCCGGCCAGATCAAGCTCGCCGTCCCCGTCTACACCGTCTGGGGCGCCTGCGAGGACGTCCTCGTCCTCGAAAAGTTCCGCACCGGCTCCTACGCCATCGACAACCTCCACGTCATCGACGAGGCCACCACCCGCTGCCTCGACGTCGGCGGCGTCAAGCTCCGCCTCCTCGGCCTCGGCGGCGCCCTCGTCCCCCACAAGATGTTCGACAACGGCGACGGCAGCGCCACCATCGCCGGCGGCCAGGGCACCATGTGGACCACCGCCCTCCAGATGGGTGAACTTGTCGACACCGCACAGCGCGTCTTTGACCAGACCGAGACGCGCGTCCTCGTCACCCACGCCAGCCCCGGCCGCGAGGGCATCATCAACCAGCTCGCCCTCGTCCTCAAGGCCGACCTCACCATCTCCGCCGGCCTCCACTTTCGCTACGCGACTTCCTACAACGAATTCAGCGTCCAGGGCGACTACGAGGGCTACCGCCACAAGCTCCTCGTCGGCAAGGACGCGTTCGACAAGGTCTGGGAGAGCGTCAAGGGCCAGGTCGACATTGTCATTGACGACAACCAGCGTGTGCTCTTGGACAAGTTCCTGTCCGTCGTCGAGCGCATCCCGCCGCCGTCCGGCCAGACCGCCCCCACGGGCGCGCCCATCCCCGAGGAGCCGGCATGGAAGAACTGCTGGAACTGGAACCTGTGCGACGCCGCGTACGGCTCGCTCGTGCTCGACGTCAAAGAAGGCCGGGTGAGCGCCGAGATCAAGAGCCAAGGTGCGTATCGCTAGCATACATCCCTGGATACCCATTCACCACGTGTCTAGGCTTCAACTACGCGTACCGCCGCACGCCCATCGCCGCCCCCGCGTCCGGCGGCACGCCCAACCCGCCCACGAAAACCTCCACGCCCGCGCCGCCCGCGGACAAGCCCGCGCCCCCGCACCTGGCCAAGTCCGCCGGCTCGACGCCGCTCCCGCGCTCGGGCAAGGACACGCCCGGCGACGGCGCGGAGAGCCCCGCGCGCGCAAACGGCGCGAGCACGCCGGGGGGGCTGACGCCTGCGGAGAAGGCGGAGCGGAAGAAGGAGAAGAAGAAGGAGAGGAAGGAGCGGGAGCGCGCGGAGCGCGAGGCTCGTGAAAAGGATGGTCACGTCGCGGAGGGCGAGAAGAAGGAGGGCGGTGAGGAGCCCAAGGCGGGCTCGGGGAAGGCGACGCCGAGTGTGGACGTGCCCGAGGCGTCCGCGTCGACGTCGGATGCGCCGAAGGAAGCGGACAGGGTGATGTCGCCCGCGACTGACAGCGCGGGCGGGCGCACGCCGACGAGCAAGCGCCCCCCGCGCAACCCGTGGACGCTCTTCGTGCGCTCCTCGACACCCGCGAACGAGGGCGAGCTCAGGGAGTTCTTTGGCGAGGCCGCCTCTGGGGTACGTGTGCTGTGCTTTTCTGATCGGGTGTTACGTGCTCAGAGGTTACTGCACAGATAATTCGCGTGAACTACCCGACTAGTTTTTCGGGAAGGAGCCAGAAGACTGCGTTTGTCGAGTTTGGGGACGAGGAGGCGATGAAGGCGGGGCTGGAAAAGCACGCAGAAGTAGGCAGTGACTTGCTTCTGCTAGTTCTTTGCTAACTAGCTTGCACTTGCAGAAACTGAAGGACACTGTCCCGGAAGTCAAGCAAGCACAGGATCGCGAGCCGCGCGAGAACGGGCCCTTCAGAGGCGGGCGGGGAGGCCGCGGTCGCGGTGGGTTCGCCGCGCGGGGCCTCTCACAGGCAGGGCTGACAAGAGGCGGGGCGCCGCATATGAGCGGTGACAGAAAAACCAACGGAGACGCGCCCAGTGGTTCCGCGAACAAGGGCGGCGAGGGTGCGTAAGGACTTGGGTGCGTGTAATTGGGTCACGGCGTAATCAGGCTTGTCAGTGTCTTGAGGAACACTCCTGTAGGCACTAATTTTGATTCTGCCTCTCTCTCTGTCCATGCGGAATTGTCGTTATGCTGCTCGATATGCGTTCCTCGCGGTCCCTATTCTACAGCTATGGTTAGAGTCTTTCAACTGTAGTCGACGTTTAATCCTAGCTATATACCCTTGGATGTGTGGACTGGCGTCCGATCAATGCGCATGTGATTACCCCGGATGCGGGGTGCTGTCGGGTACAGCCCGGGCCGGATCATCGTCGGTCGGGCACTTGGCGTCGGTGTCGAGTACAAAGACACGCAGCAGCCTCTTTACCCTTTCCCTCTTCCAAAAAATCGCCGCAATGTCGACGTCTTCACGGTCCCTCAAGTTGGCGGGTGCGGCAGCCCGTGCTGCGCGGCATGCCTCTCGGCCATCCAAGTTCTCTGCCAGGGCTTTCACCTGTTCCGCCAGGCGGGCATCAGAGCTGAACTCACTGCATACGTTTACAGACGAAGAGAATATGCTACGAGAGTCAGGTCCGCTCCTCATAGCGCACTTGTACTGTCATCTGAAGAGCTGAATCTTTATAGTCCAGCGCTTTGCGACTGAAGTGGTCGGGCCAAGGGTGAGGGAGATGGACGAGAAGGAGATGATGGACCCCGCGGTCATTCAGGGGCTTTTTGAGCAGGGGGTGGGCTAATCCATGCTCTCCCACTGTGACGTCCGCAGCTCACACTGCTCCAGCTCATGGGCATAGAGACGAGCGCAGACCACGGCGGCGCGGAGGCTTCCTTCACCTCCGCCATCGTCGTCATCGAGGAACTCGCCAAGATCGACCCCTCCGTCTCCGTCCTGTGCGACGTGCACAACACCCTCGTCAACACCGTCATCCGGAAATACGCGACAAAGGAGCAGCAGGACAAGTGGCTGCCAAAGCTCGCCACCTCCAAAGTTTGTCTTTCTCATGTCTATACGATTTCGGGACTGACAAAGGTCGCTTAGCTCGGGTCCTTCTGCTTGTCGGAGCCAGCATCGGGTTCGGATGCCTTTGCGCTGCAGACGCGGGCGAAGAAGGACGGCAACCAGTGGGTCATCAACGGCTCGAAGATGTGGATAACGAACTCGTACGAGGCCGAGATTTTCCTCATCTTCGCCAATGTGGGTCGTCCACGAATCTGGCGTATTGCGAGAAACCTGACTGACATGGTAATAAAGGTTGACCCGAGTAGAGGCTACAAGGGTATCACCTGCTTCATTGCTACGAAGGATATGGGCATCCAAATAGCAAAGAAGGAGCAGAAGCTAGGCATTCGGGCCTCGTCGACGTGCACGCTTAACTTTGATGATCTGAAAATCCCTGAAGAGAATGTCATTGGAGAAATTGGCCAGGGCTACAAGGTCTAAACTGCAATCCGTTGAACTGCGAGACATACGTACTAATTTGCTGAATTCCAGATTGCTATTGAGATTTTGAACGAAGGTAAATGGAGATGCTGCGTTGCGTATTTGTAAGTCGGCCTGCTCATCCACCGCCTCTCAGGTCGCGTCGGCATTGCAGCACAGATGGTTGGACTCGCACAGGGTGCCTTCGATAAGGCCGTGCCCTATACGTACGAGCGAAAGCAATTCGGCCAGCCCGTCGGCACCTTCCAGGGCATGGCCTTCCAAATTGCTCAGGCCGCCGTGGACATCGAGGCGGCCCGCCTGCTCACCTACAACGCCGCCCGGCGAAAGGAGGAAGGCAAGAGCTTCGTCAAGGAGGCCGCCATGGCGAAGTACTACGCCAGCGTCGTCGCGCAGCGCGTGAGCGGCTCTGCGATCGAGTGGGCGGGCGGCGTCGGTTTCACGAGGGAGACAGGGATCGAGAAGTTCTGGAGGGATTCCAAGATCGTGAGTGGTAGTTTTTATTCAGCGATGGGGAGGGTGCTGATCGGTGTATACAGGGAGCTATCTACGAAGGCACATCGAATATCCAGCTTAACACTATTGCTAAATTTATTCAGAAGGAGTACTCATAGCACGTTAGGACCTCGCACTTCGCACACTATCAGGATGTATATAATATAATCAATGTAAGCACTACAGCAATAAGCAAGCATATCGTTTTCATGTTTTGCTCGGTGTCGTCATGAACATCAGGACAGCTTCGTATATTGTCCAGCCTATGGCGGAACTGAGCACCTTGCGGCCTATTCGGAGCGACACGCCGTCAAAGAATCCTGCAACTCCGCGTTGCTGTGAACGATACTCAGCTACACATATATGTTCAGGACGATGTGGTGAGACTTACGGCTAAGATAGTCCTGATTGTGACAAGCATCCCCCGGTAACGGTCTTCCGATCGGACTTGCACTTTAGTCTGCGGGTTCATAATGTCAGCAAGTTAGAGGTACAGAATGGCATGATGCCGCGACCTTGATAACGTCAAAAGGATGTGTGCTGAGGGTAGCAAGGCCACCCGCAGATGCGGCAGATATGCTGTGCATCAATGAAGAAGTCCCAGAAGATGACCAGGCAGCCGGTAGGGCTTGGGCTACACAAGCATGTTACGTTGAAATGAGCACATCCAGCGGGATCAAGACACGCTCACTTGTTTCTTTCTTGAGGCGTTCATAGAATACGACGAAGAGGCCCGCATAAGGCGCGTCTCGCAAAGCTGACGCTGTGAACCCCCGGAATAGCTCCGAAGGCCCTGAACGGAATATCACACCCACTGACGCCAGGAAGCTATCATACTTGTAGAGGCCGCTCTATAAGGAGCGTCAGTGCATAGAGAGCTTCGCATGTGCCTAGGTCTGACCTCGAAACGTGCTTTGAGCACAGAGAAGGGGTTCAGGATAAATCCTGCCGCAACGCGCGTCGTTGCGCCAGCTAGCAGATTACCCTGGCTATTTAATTTGGGCAGGACAGATCCACGTCCGGCATCGACTCTCGGTTGAGGAGACGCAGCGAAGTACTGCACTTTCGCTAGTGCAGTCCGAACGTAGTTCAGCCCTGTCATATATATTGCGATACCTGGGACATTGCTGCAACACGGGGCAGAAGTGAGATTGGATTCACGTCCATTTATTTATTCCATACCGAGCCAGAGTAGCTGTAGTGCCTCGCCAGAGACCTAGCGGACCTTCGCTAGCCACAACATTGCGTGTGACATGGATAATCCTAGGTCTGAAGACAGTGAGACTTAAGATCCATCGGTTTCACGGACATGGAACAGCACCTTTTGTTCGGGACGCTGTCTCCTTGTTGCAGCCGTGTCTTCAGCAGGTCCACTAGGAAGCATCAAGTTAGTGAATGATTACGACGAAGCTGCAGTAGGTCGTATGAACTTACGAGGCTGGAGACAGATGCTTGAAGCAAAACCCGATAGGGCACCTTATATTCGCTCGGTACATACAGTGAATTGATACTAGCTCACGGCCTCACCTGAGAGCAGATGTAACCCGACATCGCCCATAGGTTCGTGTTGACTTGTCCGAACTTGTCCGAAGATGGACGTCGGCCACGAAGAGTGAAAATGGTTCCGACGTACTTCCGATCAACTTGGCCAGTGGCGGGTGCACACTGAGGTTGAGTCTCACACGGATATGACTCGAATATGGAGATGAACTACAATACAATACACTTTTTCTTTCGTTATAGTAGTGATACAACGTAATCGAACATGCACATAGCGAGGTCATTAGGAGATACAACCGTCCGACGACCCAAGTAAACAAGAATGCAGCCTTTGTTATAAGGCGCCCTCGAATAACAGCTTCCTTGGTTTACTGATCCTAGGAATAGGAGATATCAAGGCAGGCCTATGGGGAGAGTTGGTAAGTGTGTCATTGCAGCACAGGAACATCCTTTCTCACAGTGAGGTCCCGCAGTTCGCAGCAGGGTTACCCATAATGATACTTTCTGAAACGCCGGAAATATCATCCGTCTTCCCAAAGGCAGAAGCATCGAACAGATGGTCCGTCGTCTTCTCAAAGGAAGCCAACATGAGCACGCTGTCTTTCATCTTTGCCACACCGAAACGAGTGATGCCCAAGACCTCGCCCTGCAAGAATATTCCTCAGGAACAAGCTTGCATACCAATACTCGGAAAGCCGCACCTTATATGTCATGACATCGCCCAGCAGCATAATGTGACGTGGGTCGATGTTCATGCCGTGGGAGGCCATTGTGTATTGGATTTCGTTGATGATGGTACGCCGTGCAGCCTCGATACCCAACACGGCGCCGACTTCAATGATGTGGTTCGAAGTGGTATATTCACCGACGATACCTATTCAGTTGTCAAGGTCGCGTTGCTAAGGCGGACCGACCATGATACTCACCCTCGGTAGTCATCACTTTTTGAAGACCGTAGCCTTCAACAAGCAATTCTCGGTCACCCTTCTGCCCTTTAGCATCGTCCTTATCCTTGATATTGATGACCGCACGTTGTATACTCGGAACCCCCTTGAATAGGATGAGTCACAGAATCAAAGATGCTTGATAACCCACCGTTTACCTTTACGACGACATCAGGCAATACTCGCTTCAGATCACGCAGGCGATAATACTTGTCAGGGCCGTCGACATATATGCGTAGTCGGTTCTTCCTTGGGATCACAGTGATGGACTCCTGTTTGACCTTCAATTTCTTTGCACCGACAATGGCCCATTTAATGTCATCGAGCGTGACTTCCAGCTGAGCAATAAGTTAGACCTACGTGATGCACCAGTAACATAACCACATGCGACTTGCCTGTAGCTTCTGAATGGCATCACCGTCGATAATGATACCGATGTAGGTGTACTCAGGTGCCCAAGCCTCTTCGATGACTGACGCAATCTGCAGTAATGTTAGAAGGGCGGCAGATCAAGGAACGGTGAATACTCACATCACCCAGCAAAGTCTTCTCTAGGCGGCCCTTGACGATACGTGCCGAAGCTTCACTATCGCTGGTCACAAGCTTACAGCTGATGATGGGAGTACTGATCAACTTCGCAGCATTGATAATTTCCTTAATACGAGGGACACCAAGTGTGACGTTCATGGAAGCAACACCGGCGAAATGGAAAGTTTTCAGAGTCATCTGAGTACCGGGTTCACCAATGGATTGCGCGCCGACGGCACCAACGGTCGAGCCTAGGGAGGAGGTTAGTCTAAAGTCAAGCCAAGGCAGAGCAACTTACCAGGTTCAATCTTAGCTTTGACGTACTTGATCCAGCAGAGGTCCATGAAAGTCTTGATCTGGGCTTCGGTCACCTTCGCCTTGTTGTCGACGATAGCCTTGTCAGCCTCTGTGCATCGTGTTAGCTGATGGCTGACTCAGAAGGGACGGTAAGTACTCACCAGAAGCTCCGAGGGACAAGTCCGTATCAGCGTCCCATTCCTCCTCTCGCTCGAGGGCTTCAAACATCCCACGGCTCTTACGTATCTCCGCCAATTTCTCAACAATATGCTCCCTAACAAAGCCGCGAACCGTGGCACGGAAGGCCGCGGTGCTCTCGCTAATATAACGTTTCTGCGACAACTCAGCATCTACCATCTCCAGGATTTCAAAAGGCAGTAGACCACGGCCTGCTCTAGAGGATATAGTCTGAAACGAGGAATGTAGTTAGATGATGAGATCGTCCGTAGGACACGATGACTTACGGATGCGTGGCTCCACGCCCGCACCAAGTCAACTGGTTGGGCGTCGCCTTCCAGGCAGCCTGGGTCAAGGCCGTCATCTCCGTACGTGAACTGCACCATGCCGCCCGTCGCATTTCGTACCGACAAGTCGTAATGCGTGGCGAGGTCTTCCAGGGCCTTCATGAGTCGCCGTTGCATGTAACCAGTCTCTGCAGTCTTGACTGCAGTGTCAACCAAACCTTCTCTTCCCGAGATAGCGTGGAACAAGAACTCCGTAGGCGACAAGCCGGTATAGAAACTGTTCCGTACGAAACCTTTTGACGGCGGCTCCCTTGACTTTTTGGGGAAATGGGGGAGGGAACGGTCCTGAAAACCATCGGGTACACGATGACCGGAAATAATCTGTTGACCGACACAAGCCACCATTTGGGAGACATTAATGACGGAGCCTTTGGGCCGAAATCAGTGTGGTATAATGTCAAACACGAATAAGCGCACCTTTGGAACCACAGGTAGCCATGATAAGCGGTGCATTGTGCCGGCTGAGCTCCCTCATGCAAGTTTCACCACACTCGTCACGGACTTTGGAAAGAACAGCAGAGATCATAGCCTCGAGGGTCTGTTCCTGGTTACATCCCGGCTTATTTTCCAGCTTTCCCTTCTTGGCGAGAGCGATCAAGTCCAGACAGTTCGCATAGGCCTTCTCGACCAAAGTATCCTTCTTCTGAGAGAGGACAGGTCCCGGCATGACATCGTTGATACCTAGTGAAAATCCAAAATTTGCTGCACAGGGAGTAAGCTCAGCCAATCCTGTACTTTCGCGCAGATATTTACAACGCGTAACCACTCACCTAACCAGCGCGCACAAAGCTTGGCCACCTTATTCATCGCCAACGCCGCCTCATGTGGGCCATAATCCCTCAAAATGACTCCAAATATACTTTTCTTCTTCCCGCTCCCCAGCGTCGCCTTATCCATCACCCCGCACATAATCTCGCTGTTCACCACGACCAACCACCCATCATTCGGGCTAAGATCACTCGCAGGCTTCATTCCTTTGGGATACACGCTTGCCTTCGTCTTCTCCTCCTTATTGCACTTCGTCTCGACGTTCACGAGGATCTTCGACTCCTTGTTGGGCCGCATGAGCACGTTGAACACCTGCTTGCCCGTCCACAGCCGCACGGGCTTCCAGATCGTCGGCGGTGGGATGTCGATGTGCATATTTGCGTCGCCGAAGTAGGAGCATATTTGTGTGAATTGGCGGCGGTCGAAGAACTGGTCGCGCCGGGAGATGAGCCAGGAGGCGGTGATGAAGTCCTGGATGGCGGCGATGACGGGCTCGCCGTTGCGCGGGGAGACGATGCCGTACTTGACGTTCATGAGCTCGAGCGCTTCTGTTCGCGCTTCTTCCGTCTGAGGTACGTCTGGAGTGGACCTCAGTTATGGATGGACATATCGGAGATGTATAGCTTACGGAGATTCATTTCGTCGCCGTCAAAGTCAGCGTTGTATGGTGTACAGACACATTCATTGAGACGGAACGACCGCCAGGGCCTGACCTTCACCTGAAGAAAAATACTCAGCACCAATCCAACCAGACACCACTTAGACCTACTCGATGACTCATAATGGACAACTGCTGGTCGTCAGAAACCATACCGGGCACCAAAACGGCCACGCACCCTATGCAAACTCGGCTGCCGATTAAACAGCACAATATCCCCATCCACAATATGCCTCTCCACCACATCCCCAATCCTCAACTGCTCCGCAATCGCCGCACGGTTCCCAAACTTCAAAAACTTCTTGAAGCCACTATTCCCTGCAGTAACATAATTCGCGCCGGGGTGCACATCGCAGCCATTGCGCACCGCCTTCCTGAGCGTCTCGAGGTTGTGCTGCGTGACGCGCTCGGGGTACGTGAGGATCTTCGCGACGCGCTCCGGCACGGCGACCTCGTCGATGCGCAGGTTCGGGTCGGGCGAGATGACGGTGCGTCCCGAGAAGTCGACGCGCTTGCCGGAGAGGTTGCCACGGAAGCGGCCCTGTTTGCCCTTGAGCCGCTGGCAGAACCCGCGGATGGGGCGTTGGCCGGGCTGGGAGGGAACGCCTGGGAGCTCCGAGTTGATGTACATTGCGACGGAGAGTTGGAGGAATTCCCATGATTCCTGGGAAGAAGTGAGGGAGACAAGGGAAGAAGATCAACGGACATACGTACCATGAGCTGGGGAGTCGGGGCTCCGGTGGTGAGACCTTTCTTAATCAGTGCATTCGTGAACACTATTTCGGTTAATTTGACAGTCAGGTCGTCCTCGTTGGAAGCACCGTCCTGAGCAACCGAAGGGCGGATACACACGGGGGGTACCGAGATGTACTGCCAGATGTACTCCTCGGGGCGGCCAAACTCGGGACGTAGACCGAGCAATTCACAGTCCTGGATGGCATGAGTAAAACGACTGGGCTAATCGAATTCACCTGCGCACCTCGTCCGATATCCGCTTGAACAAGTCGAGCACCTTGAGCGGGTTCAAGTCCTCGTGCACGGCGCGGCTCACATACACGCCGAGCTCCTTCTGCGCCTCGACGGCGGGCGCGAACGTGCGCTTCCAGCGCTCCATCTCCTCCGCGGTCTTCTTCGCGCGGAACTTGTCGTGGATGATCTTGAGCGCGCCGGCCTTCTTGACGGTGCCGTTGGTCGCGCCGCAGTGCGGGCAGTACACGGCCTTGCGCGCGAGGGTGTTGAGCGCCTTGGTGATGCCCTGCCGCTGGTAGTTCTCGAGGTTGGGTCGTCGAAAGCGTTTGAGGAAGGTGCGCCGGTCGGGCTCTTCGAGGAGAACGCGGGCGCAGGTCTAGACAGGTAACTGTGAGGATTTAAGAGGCCTCTGAATAGTAGGGGCGTACCTTGCATATGCATTGCAAGATGCCGATGGTGTGCTTAAAGTAGCCAATGTGGAATACGGGCAGGACGAGCTTGATGTACGCATAGTGCCCGACGCAGTCCACAGAGTTCAGGCCGCAGGTCTCGCAATACGCGTTCTTCTCAGATGTACCCTACGAGCCAGTATCTTCATTGGAGCGTATCCCACCTGATATACAATATCACTCACCAGTCTCCGATCCAGGACGCCATTCTTCACGGGTGCCCTGTCAGTCGCGGTGTACAGATCGCGATGGGTGACTTCAAACTCGGAGACCTTGACGACGTCCTGGGCATTGAGGAGGCTGAACTGGAGCTTTTTGCTGGGTCGATAATTAACGTCGGCTTTATTGGACAGAATGCGAGCCCTCACATTACTTTCGGGGCCTGGTGGGACACGCTCTCCTTCATGTCGGGCAACCTCCAAAGTCCCCGCTCGCCGTCCAAGCTCCAGAAAGGTCAGCACCAAGCCCAATAACGCAAGGGACAGAGCAAGTGCAGAAATTCCTTGCCGCGTCCAGTCAACGCAGTGATCGAGGCAGCGAGATGGGATCTGGGCCACGTGGGCGGCTTTGCGGGTGTTTTCGACGCGTCAGGCATTGCGCGTCCTGATCACACATACGCCTGCCTCCGCCGCCGCCAGCCATGTCCAGGACCTCATACGACCGGTAAGGGTGATTCTGCTCGGCGTAACTGGCGGACTCACGCTTTACAGATACCTCACAGTTTTCTCGCCCGAAGGACGGCTCTACCAAGTCGGTGCGTAGCGTGCATTCGTTATACAAGTATGTGTACTAATGCAAAGGTTTGTAGAGTATGCCTTCAAGGCCATCTCAGGCTCCGGGCACACCGCGGTCGCAGTCAGGGGAAAGGACACCGCGGTCGTCATCACACAGAAGAAAGTCCCCGTACGTCCACGCTCATCGCACAGTGTCAGTGCGCTCACCCTGCCCAGGACAAACTCTTGGACGCGTCCACCGTCACCCACCTCTTCAGCATCACACCGACGATAGGCTGCGTCATGACGGGCCTGATTGGTCCGTCCTTTCCCCGCCCCTGCTCTCATTTATATTCTGACGCCCTCACTATCCAGCCGACGCCCGTGCACAGATATCCCGAGCACGCGCAGAGGCCGCCGAGTACCGCTACAAGTACGGCTACGAGATCACACCCGACGCCCTCGCGCGCCGCCTCGCCAACATCAACCAGGTCTACACCCAGCGCGCCGCCATGCGCCCTCTAGGCATATGTGCGTCTTCCCTCTTCCCTTGCTTCGTCGTACTATACTAATTTCATCCCTCAGCCATGATCCTCATCGGCATCGACCCCGAGTTCGGTCCGCAGTGCTTCAAGCTCGACCCGGCCGGCTACTTTGTCGGTTTCCACGCGACCGCTGCGGGGCAGAAGCAGCAGGAGGCGATGAATCACCTCGAGAAGAAGTGGAAGAAGCTCGACGGCGGCAAGGGCGCGGATGAGCCTGCCACCGCGGGGCGCACGCTCTCGCGCGCCGAGGTCATCGAGGTCAGCTGTCCCCTCTTTTGATCCAAGTTATTCTCAGATAAGGATAATACGGGATGCTGATGGGTACGTGAATAGATGGCGATCGAGGCGATGTCGACGGTGCACGCGACGGACTACAAGGCGGGTGAGGTCGAGATCGGGATCGTGAGCGACACGGACGATGAGAACCCCAAGACGAGGGGCCAGTGGCGTGTCATGGACGAGGCGGAGGTGGAGCGGCACTTGCTGGCGTACGCAGAGAAGGACTAGTCGGTACCAGAGGAATTGTCGCGCTGTTTTGCTATCATCCCGTATTCAGATTATAAATCTCAAATCAACCAGGGCGAACATGCGAGCATAGCACCTGTGATATATTATAGGATGTATACATTCACACTTGCCGAGCTCTACCGCAACGATGCGCCGCCAGTCTACCACGCCGTCAGTCCACTACTTCACACCTCACCTTCCAAACGAACTCACCTGAATCGCATCAATCTCCCAATCCTCCAACGTCCTCACGCGCGGCCGCCAGAACTGCGCCGGCGCCTCCCAGAACTCGCCGTACCTTTCTACATGCTGCACGTTCACTCCGCTCGGGCTTGCGGGCTTCTTCGGCTGTACGCCTGGCGGGGCAGCGGGATGGGGCGCGTGCGACGACGCCTGGAACTTCTTCAGGAAATCGGAAAAGTGCTCCTTGAGCTCCGTGGGTGCCTGCGGGTGGGCATGGGGCGGGTCGGGTGCTGCACGCCAGTGTCAGCGTGAGCAGGAGGGGAGGGGAAGGGGAAGGGGAGGACGTACCGGTAGGCCAAACGCGCTTGCCGACAAACTTGATGAGCGGCTCGTGCACTCTGGCCGAGCAGAGGCGCAGGGAGGGATGCATGCTCGATGCGCGTTAGTAGTTAGCTGAGAGATTCGGGAGATGCGTGCGAACAAGGGTCAGTGTGGCTGGGCTACTGCCCGTTTGGGACACTTGCCACATTGAATCAGTTACACTGTACACGCACCTTGGGAATTGCGGTCTTCAGGGCTGGGTGAAAGGTTGTACCATAGTGAATTCCCTACAACATTTTGTCTGGCCCTAAATACTGAAACTCCCAAAGTGACACCCATTCCAAAGAAAGGTTCTGGCAAGGTCAGATGTCGGAAAAATCGAAAATGGCATATCATAAGTGATCTGGTCTGGCCAGGCATGATCAGCCTGTCAGGTTTGGGACCCCCTGGTCAGATTCAAAAACTCGTTATATGTCGTGATCAGCCTTATGAGCCCTGATCAGGCTTTTGGCGAAATATAATAAGAAAAGACTAGTACTGCCACCTTCCATTCCGATGACTATGTCGGAACTTTCCGTCATCCATTATAATTGTGAAAAGACATCGACACAAATATCTGCGGATGTCCTTGCCACTATCCCTTGTGCACCACATCAATATATTGCTACTATATTGGGGTTCAATAGCAAGTACAAATTAAAGTGCTGGGAGGTGTTTGAAAAAGCATCCTTAATTAAAATGCACTTTTATTGAAATTATTTTAGGATTATGATTCATTATAAGCGAAAATCGTATTATCATTAGAGCAAAGGATTATTATCGGATTATATCCAATTATATGCAGTGACGGAAATCTCCGACATACCTAACCAGCACTTTGACATTGATGGTGGAGCCTACGTATATCTTGTAGCCTATTCAATTGTAAGCTATTTACTACAGGAGATGTTATTCTAGGCGGGATTCAAACACTGCACTACCATGTTATTTCACTTGTGATAACATTTGCTACGAGTACACCACTACACCAACACACAATCCTTAAGTGGCTACATAATCTCATTATATATGTCATCTCGCACCCATACGGAGGCTTATGGGTGACACCAGTTAGGCTGCTATAGCACTGTAGTTCTATCCTAGACTGAATACAATTCATATTAATAGAAAATTAGAACAAAGGAATAGTAGCTAGACCTGCGAAAGGCGAAGGTGCTCCCAGCTGTTCATGCCAGAATGAGCCTGACAAGGCCTGACGAGAGCATGATCAGGGTGAATACAAAACCTTATAAGGCATGGTCATGCCTTATCAGGCTGTCAGGCTTTGTCAGGCCTGATCAGGGTTTTTGTGCTTTTCCGACAGAGCTATTTCACCTCTGGTCCATAACACATATGCAATGGTACAGTACTGTATGCGGATTTGGTGTATTGTAGCTAGCACATTATGGGTGGTTCATATGTTTATTTGAATGCAAGGAGCAAAGAAAATTGCAAGCAGCCAGAAAGAGCAGCAGTGGCAAGCAGGTCAGAAAGCCCACTTTCTCACTGTCCAGCTTGGATGACAGCTTGATACTGACTCCAACCTTTATTCCACATACAAGTCAAGTAGAGCCCAAGTTGATCCTTGGATTTTATTTCAAGTCACCAACAAGTTGTTGGAAGAATCAAATTTACCATATCAGTCCTGACAGAACCTGGTAGCATTATCTGGCCTGATTAGCCTTCAATTGATAGCTGGTCAGGTCCCTGTCAGGCATTGTCAGTCTGTTGTTGGCCCTGGTCAGAGACTTACATGGCCTGATCAAGTCTGGTGGGAATAGTAGACTGTAGAGCTTCTATGACATGACGGATACAGGGGATCGTTATGAAGCAGACGTTGTATGATGCCTTCGAGGGCACTTGTGAGGGGTAAAGAGAAATGTATTCAAGCAGTTAGTATAATGACTCGATGTACCAGTGTGAATACATGTGTGAAGTCAGCTCAACTTTCCATGATTGCCAATTGGGTTCGGACATGGCTTTACTATGAACTATGTTTCAAGAGAGAGTGGGGGAGGGTTCCAAGGGAATAGCAGAGGGGGAAGTATTCTATGATCTTGAGGAATGCATAAATATATTATGGATGGTAGGACACACTAAGGGGAGTTAGGCTGGCAGGGATTGGGAACACATGGGCATCTGGGCACCTGGAAAGTGATTCGAATACATGACGTGGTCTGCCCACATTGCCCATCTGGGCAGGTTCCTGGATGGGCTGCCCAAGGTCCAGGTGCAGGAAATATTGGGCAGACCAAGACTGCCCAAGGGCAGATTTCTGGGCATGACCAGATTACCCATGTTGGGAAGGTGTGGGCAGACCAGAAGAAGTGGACCTACCCACCTGGACAAGTGGAGGGAAGATTGGGAACAACCAATCCTGGGCAGTTGGAAAAACAGATATTTCTGCCCAGATGGACAGGTGGGCAGGATGGGCAGTCCTTCTGATGATCCTTCTCATTGGGTGAGGAGGTGGGGGAGGGAAGTCACAGGCTGATATATGACCCTTGAAGTCGCTTCTTGACTTGTATACGTCATTGAGACTGTAATATATGACTTGTTGCTCTATGAATATTCTCAGGCTGGAAGAAGGTGGCTGATAATGTTAACTATTCGTCCATGATATATGTTCAAGGTGCTTCCCTAGAGCTCTAAGTAATGGAGGACACATGATACCCCCCAGTTTTTGCTTGTTGTATACACCTGATCTTCAGAACCCTACATAGCTCAGCCTTAGAGAGGGGGACACTGCATTTCCCCCCAAACCCCCCTTCACATGCCACTATACATACAACTGTATACCTATCCAATAGAGTCATACTCAGCTCAGCATTAGGTGGGGGGACACTGCATTTCCACCCAGACCCCCCTGGAGCTCCCAAATCATCATATACACAGCAATGCTGGTTTGTGTAGGGGTACCCGGGAGTACCAATACAGTATACCAAGGGTGAGATTGCACCAATGTTAGCGAGCCATTGCTAGGGGTTTGGGGGGTTCCTGCAGCAGGAAACCAATAGAATACATACTGGCTACAGAATGATCACATTATCTTCCCACAATCCAGCCTGATTATGGAGCTAGAGGGGGTAAACAAGAGGCAGATTAGGCAGGATTTATACTGGTCCATCATGGTCCAGGACCCCAGAAATAGTGTGACAGACCATGGAATGGGCTGGGCAGAAGACCGGGACATGGGCACATATGGCCTCACTCAGGGACCTGGACCACCCTAGCACCCAGTGGGACCACTGACCTGCCCTCCCATACCTGCCCATACCATCATACCAGAGCCTACTTAGGGGTATCAGTTTTGCAAGTCAGTTGTACCCAAGTAGGCAGGGGTAGGGGGGTGTCTGAGTTGTGGAGCAAGACCGACTGGGATGACCCTGACAACTGCCCTGACGAGAAGACTGCACCACCTGGACCATGTGATAAGCAGCATCAGTCACAGAATATCAATGTGTCTATGTGCTTTGTCACCAGTGACGATGGCGAAATGATCACCGGGCATGAGGTGGGCAACATCTCCAACACAATGTCTTCTTTCTTTCAGTCGCTGGTTGCCATTTGCGAAGCACCTCTAACATGGAAGAAGACTACCCCCCTACACATCAAGATGGCAATGTGGAAGACCATGAAGAATGCTTTCCCAAAGCTATCGCTTTGTGAGAACAACTGGAAGATCGAGGAGATCGCAAAGCAAGTCTATCCTGGGTTCAGCAAAAGACATGTCAAGCCTGTATATGTGTCTTAGGGGATGGACCTTGCTGCCCTACAGAAGCTAGAGGAAATCGACAACAACAATGACAGCAGCAGCGTGGCTGCAGAGTCTTCTTCTAACAATGCTCACCAGTCTGGATGGCAAGAAGCATCTCCCAAATCCTTGTCAGAGAAGCGGAAGGCTGATGTGGACCCCGAGGTGACAAAGCAGCCGGAGAAGAAGAAGAAGAGGCTGAACATGCACAATCCCCTGTGAGTCATCTTCTTTACATGAACACCATTATTACTACTACTTGACTACAGTGCTGGTTTGACCATAGACCTTACGCGGGCTAGGAGTCCATCCATGCTGCCAATGTGGGCAACAATGCGCCCCAACCGGCCACCAAGAAACCGAGCACTGCAGGTGTTAGTTTGAACCTTGACAGTGGTGCAAATGCTGCTGACAGCAAGACAGGTGGTCCTTGTACAGAAGACAAACTCAATCACGGTGAAGACGGAGGACTCGGGCAAAGTGGTCCGGCCACTGGTGGCCCCGGTGGAGATCGATTCACACTGACAGTCAACTTCAAGAAGCTGGTGGCAATGCCAGCAAAGGTTGAGAGTGGGTGGTAAGCCGATTGTTCCTTGATGTTTACTCGTACTTATCTGGAAAGCAGCCAACTGTTTCAGAAGGAATGTTTGAGAAAGGCGGCATCACAGATGCTGGTTTTTGGTCTGGGTGGACCAACCTACCTGAAGAGAAGAAAGCAGTGAGTGATCCACCCACTGCCTTGCATCTGATTGATGCCTACACAGGGCTAGAATTACAATTTGAGAGCACAAGCTATCGCTGCCATTGTGGTATGTTGTTTTGTGTCTCAGGGCACCATACACTTACTCCAATATGGCTACAGAAAGCTTGCAAGGGCAAAGAGAAGAGCAGGACTTCTCAAAATGGGGCTTAAGACTGTCTCCTCTTTGAGTAAGTCTGTCTTCCATCTATGCTATGCTCGATAAGGTGCTATCCTGCATGCATGATGCACTAGCATCAGTTCTACAGGTGTATGATACTGGGGGCGGGCAGAGGTATAGGAAAATGGGGGATTGGAGGGGATGTCTGGGAACGGGAGGAATTGACGCGGGTGGGATGGTAATAGAGGGGAATCACTGTTATAGCTACCTATCCAGTGTCGCATCCCTGTAATAATTATGAAACGGGTCGGATAGATTGTAATCGATGCAAAAAGCTTTCTTGATGTGCTAGCATATCAACCCATATAGGGTAGTAGAGTGATTGGTGGATATTAAGATAGTCCCACATCGATTAAAATCAATTGAAACCATCTACTGATTGCTGCATGCTAAGAAGGCAACAAGAGGACAATCACTATCAAACAAAAAAGTGATTATATACTGTTTTCTCGTTTGACAGAGAATGGCATCCCGGCAATCAGCAGGAATGGCTGGGAAACGCTGGGAGTCATTCACAAATTAGGGGTTTTTGACTGGGACTGACCAGTCACTGCTGTAATGTCCCGGAAATTGAATTGACCCTAGTGCAACACAACATGACTGGGAAGGGGATGGGATGGATGGGAGAAGTTGTGTAATTGAAGGGGCATACCTGGAGAAGTGTTAGACACGATTTTCAGGAGGATATCATATGCATCCATTGTAGAGTAGCAACATGTCTGTGTTTTTGGGTGCAGCTGGTGGTGCACTGCTATATACAAATGTGTGCTGGGTTATATGCTACACTGATTGTTGTAAATCCACTGCCATACTATACTACCCATGGGGAGATGGTTTGTAGACTGTAGGAAGCAAAAGCAGTAGCTGGGGAGAGGCCCCAGGAGGGGTAGAAGCCAAAAGCAGTAGCTAGATGGGATCAGGTTGATATCTCTTGGAATCCTAAGTAAACCTGTAGCCCACTATGGGGTATGTATGGTCCAAAAATGGTGCAGCATTGTGGCATCATTTGGGGTTGCCAAATGCAAAAAAAAAACAGTTTCAGAGCCGATGGTAAAAACATTATATATTGCTAATCAATAGCTAGAAACCCAGTGGTGTAATTGCCAAAATATGTGCCCCATCTATCCAGTACAAACCCAGGTAATCATGTTACAAATCCATACAAACTTTTACAAATGCTACAAATTGCCCTCCTACAAGCTACAAAATTGCACAACATACCCTCAACAAGCCTACAAATTTATACAAATGCCCCATGCAAACATACAAACTCATACAACCCCCCCCCCTGCAAACATACAAATTTTTGTAAATGCCCATTAGAGAACCACAGAGTTGTACAGGCTGTGGTGAAAAGATCTACAAACTCTTTCCAAACACACTCTACAAACTTACATATTTGTACAAAATGGCCTGAAACAGCTCACAAATCATTACAAAGGACCCTGCTACAGTACACAAATATCACACAAATTGGTCCAAATAATCATACAAATGTCCACCAATACAAATACAAATGGTAGTCATGATTTTTACAAATTTGTACAAATTGTACAAACAGCCTCCTCATAATGTACAAATACAAATCCAAGTTAGTGGTAATTTGTATACAAAAGTTGAGCCCATGACTCCATGGATATACCATGGGAGAGGAGTTGGGCATTCCTATCATCCTCATCAAAATAAGTGTGCTCCAAATGCGCCCTGACTGTCCCTGTGCCGTCCACAGAATAGATGGGGGATAGCACGTCCACCAGGACATTGTCTGAACCAGGTACATATTTGATCTTGAAATCACAGCCCATGTTATAATAATAATGTAATGTTTCTGGACAACACTCCTGTGCTCCTTTACACTGTTTAGGGACAATTGTCCAGGCCTGATGTAATGGGATTGCAGCTTGCCATGATCCGGGCTGAGCTTGAATGGCCTGCCCCGGCATCCCAGCAGGTAGACAGTGATCAGGGCTAGATCTGGTGCCCTGGGAATAGCCTGGGGGGCTAAGAATAGGCTGGCTGATCATCCAGGCACCTGGGTGGCTCCAAAAAATGCGCAAAGATTCAGCGAAAATCAGAATATATTGGTGGGACCCAGACTCAACATATTAGTGCTATAAATAGCTGATGGGTATATATAGACCATGGCAGATTGCAGCTTGGCAGCTCATAGAAGTTCAAAGGAAATGCGGAAAAATCACAGAAACAATCACAGCTACTGTCACTAGTTCCTGTGCACTAGTGGCATCACTATATTACGTAACACACTTCCAAATATGGCAATATATAGTGTCGTACACTTCTGGAACCCAATTTTCATGCTCATTCTGGCCCTGTGGTCCATTTATTCTTATTCTTCTTTGTTCTAGCTCATATATTACCTGACCCAGGCAATGTATGGAGGGGGGATATGTGGCAGTGATCCATAGAGCCTAGTGGTTATGCATTGCTGTAAGAATAATTTTTTCATTGCCAGCTCCAACACAGTATTTCGGGTTTTCCCACGCTTATACAATATGCTACATCCTGATTCTTAGGATCATACTCACCCCATATATATCTACAGGTTTACATAAGACACTGAGAGATTCCAAGTGGTGCATCATTAGATACTGCTTTTGGGTGGTACCCCTCCTGTGGACCCCCAGGGGAGTGGAATGTGGTTCAAGTAGTTGTGAATAGCTGTCCCTAGAGTAGATAATCATACCCCATCATGTGGACCACTTGCTAGCCACACAGCCCATTATTTTGTGAAATAGTATTACTGCACCTCAAAAATACACTGTTCACCTCACCCTGCACCAGCTGGTATAGATTGCAGCCTGGAAATAAGTCCTACTACATTCCAGAGTGTGCCTGATCAAGATCCAATCCCACCCTAGCTCCCCCCAATGTGTCCCCATCCCAAAAGCCCCACTGAGGCAACAGATCCGGGTAATTGTTGCCTGTCCGAAAGTGATCTGAAAGTCATCCAAAAATGGCCCGGGGCACCTTCCAGTGTCCACTCAAAGGAGTATGCACCCGGGATGGTGCAGTAATACTATTTCAGAACATAATGGGCTGTGTGGCTGGGAATGTGGTCCACGTGATGGGGTATGATTATCTACTCTAGGGAGGGCTATTCATAACCACTTGAACCACTTTCCACTCCCCTGGGGGGTCCGCAGGAGGGGTACCACCCAAAAGTGGTATCTAATGATGCACCACTTGGAATATCTCAGTGTCTTATGTAAACCTGTAGATGTATATGGGGTGAGTGCGATCCCATGAAATCAGGATGTAGCATATTGTATAAGCATGGGAAACCCCGAAATACTGTGTTGGAGCTGGCGATGAAAAAATTATTCTTACAGCAATGGATAGTCACTAGGCTCTATGGATCACTGCCACATATCCCCCCTCCATACATTGCCTGCATCAGCAAAATGGCAGCCCAAGCTAAGGCACTAAGTACCGCTAAGGTGCCCTTACCGAGCTCCTTAGCTCTAACTCTCTGAGTTTCTTAGCCGATGCTGTAGATGGCGGCAGAGCAATATACATGGCTCTGTTGATCATAGATGTACATGTAATGCATACCAGTAGCACTAGACAAGGGCGGAGACTCGTCATTCGGGAGTTGCTATCATTCAAGGCAAAGGCTGAGTCCATCATGAAATGGTTTTGAGCACAAACTAATGTTGCCTTGTAGTGCAATGGTTATAGCGTATGGTCTCGGTATGGCAGATGCTGGTTCGAATCCCGGTGGTGCTAGCATTTTTCTGTTCTCTCTCCACTTACTTCTTGCCTGAGTGTTCTTAGCACCTTAATCAAGGACTTAGCTAAGTCTCGGTGCTGGGCTCAGGGGGTGGGCCCCCATGACTTAAGACCATGGGCTTGGTACTTATTTGCCTGAGATTAGTTCTTAGCTTCGCTTAGACGGTCATGCCATTTTGCTGATGTGGGTCAGGTATTATATGAGCTAGAACAAAGAAGAATCAGAATAAATGGACCACAGAGCCAGAAAGAGCATAGAAATTGGGTTCCAGAACTGTACCACACCACATATTGCCATATTTGGAAGTGTGTTATGTAATATAGTGATGCCATTAGTGCACAGGAACTAGTGACAGTAGCTGTGATTGTTTCTGTGATTTTTCCGCATTTCCTTTGAACTTCTATGAGCTGCCAAGCTGCAATCTGCCATGGTAAATATATACCCATCAGCTATTTATAGCACTAATATGTCAAGTCCGAGTCCCACCAATATATTCTTTGGAGCCACCGAGGTGCCTGGATGATCAACCAGCCTATTCTTAGCCCCCCAGGCCATTCCTGGGCCACCAGATCTAGCCCCGATCCCTGCCTGCCTGCCGGGATGCCGGGGTAGGCCATTCAAGCTCAGCCGGGCTCACGGCAGCCTGCCTGCCGTCTAAAATCCCATTACATTATCCCTGGACAATTGTCCCTAAACATTGTAAAGGAGCACAGGAGTGTTGTCCAGAAATGTTACATTATTATTACAACATGGGCTGGCTCCTGGCCTTTTACGGCGAAGCCTTCAGGGTGTTCCATATATATTTCCTCATCCAGTTTGCCATAAAGATAGGCATTGCGCATGTCGAGTCCAGAGATGTGCCAATCCTCTAGTGCTGCTAGCACGAGCATAAGGCACACTGTCTCAAAGCGCACAACTGGTGAGAATATGTGGTCGAAGTCAATACCTTCAACCTGCAAGAAGCCTTTAGCAACTAATCTCACTTTGCAACGTCCATCTGACTTGACATCAAATATCCAGCAACATTTAATGACTTTGCACCCTTTGCTATGATTTTCCCATGCTTATCTCATTCCATTTCCATTCCGAGCATTGCTACTGGACAGTACCTTTCTCTGAGTAGACCTTCCCATGGACGCTATCTTCTTCTCACACGTTATCTCCCTTGACTCACCTTCTACCAATGGGCACCCTTGTATTTCTCATTTCTCTGAGTTACGTTCTCACAGGATAGCTTACGCATCCTTTCTTATTGTTCTCTTCTTTGGGTATTAACCCCTATACCAGTTACTATATATATATACTGTAGGAAAACCCATGTATTCCTTAGTTCAACCTCCTGTTGAATACAGCGATTACCTGGACTCTTGACTTGACCATTGGCATTGGCCCGGCCAGACCTACCTTTCAGTACGCTTCCTGAGGTAGTGACGACATAACTGTTGGCACGTGGCCCAGTTATCTCAAGACGACTAGTTAGGACATCGCTTCCTAACATTAGGTTGAACTCTTCTATGACACTTGCCGACTTCTTCAAGCCTAGGCAACCCCTCCTCTACTCTTGATCATCCTCGTTGGACTCCCTAGTGGAATCCCGTCCCTTGAACCAGAACCATGATGAACCCATTCGATCCCGCAACCCAGACAACTGGAGCCAGCAATGTTGCACCAGTCGTCCAAGCACGACCGACTGAAATCAAGATACGTCTCCCAGATGACTTCAATGGAGACAGGAAGAAGACCCAAACGTTTTACCTTGCCACTCAACTATACATGATGGCAAACAAGCACATCTATGACACCGACGAGAAGAAGATCACGTTCTTCATCTCCTTCTTGAAAGAAGGAACTGCTGGCCCATGGGCAGAGATGACGAAGGCATTCACCAATGACCAAGGATTTGGCACATGGGAAGCCTTCACGACATGATTCCTGAACGCCTTCACCGAGGCAGACACCGCTGGAGATGTGAGAGCCAAGTTGGGAATTCCGCATGTTGACCGCACGATGCAGAATCACTGAAGACATATCCCTGATCGAGTACTTTCAAGAGGGACTCCAGAACAAGCTAGTCAAGAAGGTCTATGGCATGGAGCACATGCCTAAGACAATCAAAGAATGGTACAAAGCCGCATCCCTGTTCGACAACCAGTATCGACGGGTGAGAGTGGTCATCAACTGATACAAGGGAGTTGGCCAGACCAGAAACTTCATCACTCTGAAGTACACTCCTCCCTCTAAAGACCCCAATGCCATGGACATCGATCGCCTGTCAACCAGTGAAAGGGAGAAATACATGAAGGAAGGGTGATGCTTCACCTGTGGTCAGACTGGCCACAGGGCTGCCGATCACAAGCAGGACAAGGGAAATGACAAGAGATGAAATGCCAGATTGAAGCTAAGGTCTGAAACCCTCGCTATCTAGGCTTATATATTGCAAGATATCCAAATATACTTATACATGTGTTAAGAGGATGGTATACATGTGTATTTGAGAAAATGCAGAAACCAGTCATTATTAATGTGAAACAGTCTGTGAGTGGTGAGGTTGCAATGCGTAGATAATAAGAGATTGTGAAGTGGTTTGAAAATGAGATGTGCATGGTTGTGGTGTCTATGCGGTTCTGTGTGCGTGTGTTAAACACATGCGATCGTGAAAAGGTGTTTTGATTGTAACATTACCCCCTCCTTTAGAATCGCGTCCTCGCAATCAGTGTTGTGCGCCTCCGCGTCTGACAACTTCTAATTCGATGATCCCTCCCAGGCTTGCTCTGCGTCGACTGGTTATTTCAAGGGAGTTGCGGGGATTTTGGTGATGGATGTGGATAATAAATATGATGCTGAGCCCGATGACCGTGGTGACTAGCACAGCGAGTATAGTGAATAGGACGATGTTAGGGGTCGAGAGTACGAGCATGGTGTGATGATGGTTTGTGATGGATGTTCATTGACGACACACATCCCAAAGAACAGTTCGGCTATTTCTGATTGCATCATTGATGGTAAATCGGTAGTCTTTTTTGTCCTAGTCATCCATCGCTCATAGGTTTTCATCCACTTGTCCCATTTGTCATTATGTACTATTTATTTTTTCTTTTTCTGATAGTCTTACATTTCGTAGTGCGCCAGGCACCGTGATTGTGGGCATTCTTGCCGCATCAGGGTTCTGCCTATGGAATTCATCAATCAGGCTTTTGTATTGCCTGATCAAGCTTGATTGTGATTCCCATGTGTCTTCTGATCTCGGTTTGTCTTCCCATCGTACTAAATATTGTAACCCGCCTCTTCGTACTCTTGAATCTAGGATTTTCTCCACTTTTGCTTCAATGGCAATAATGTTAGGAACGGTTTTCATTGGTTTCTGATTAGGAAGTTCTTGTGTATAATAAGGTGTAAGGAGTACTTCATTAAATACGCGATGGCTCTTCCATGCTTTGGGTAGCTTGAGCTTGTAAGCACTATTTCCGACCTTTCTGACGATTTCGAATGGTCTGTATCGTTTATCGTCAAGTTTTTTGTTAGGTTGATCTGTACTTATGTTTGTTGCTTCAAGCCAGACTTTGTCCCCTTCCTTATAATTTATCGAGTCTCGTTTCTTGTTATCCCATTTTTCCTTCATATACTCCTTGGTAAGCTTGAGAGCGGCCGATGCCTCTTCTTGCAACTTCTTCATCCTTGTGACAAATTGGTCTGCTTGTTCGCTCTTCACTTCTTTCCGAGTTTCTACTCCAGTGTAGGGATGATGTCCATGTGTTAAATAGAATGGTGAATATCCAGTTGCTGAATGTTCCCTGTTGCGGTAGATGAACTCGCAGATGGGTAGCCATTCAGGCCAATCGGTCTGTCAATAATTTACAAACATTCTTAAATAATTTTCTATTTCCTGATTTATTCATTCATCTCTCTAGTCTGCCCTCGCTGCTGGCAGCCGTCCCTTTGCCATAAGTGAAGGCTTTCTCCCATGATGTGAGAGACGTGAAGCCCCCATTAACAGAGCCTGCGTAATAAGGGAATATAAAGTACCCCTCAGGGGTCGGGATCGCCCCCTGGACAGGGTCCATCCAGTCCATCATCAAGAATCCTTTTAACCCTGATTCCCAAAAACGTAGGGCGATAGTGTCATTGGGGATGTCGATCACGTAGACTTTATCGCCCTGATCAGGTTTTTTCTATGGGGAGCTATGAGCATCAGGGCGCATACGGCAACAAGAAGCATACCCCGATTATGACCAGATCCTTTCCAGTCTGCGACTTGATCATCTCTTTCATTTTTTTTATTTCTTCTTCTATTTTGGTCTCTTCCCCATGGACTCGCCTCGATGGAACAGGAGTAGGAGGAGGGTTCTATAATGAAGAACGCAATATTAGGTGATTAACAGGAACAAAATATTATGGAGGGTACCTGGCGACGTCCTGGCTTTGTCCATCGGTTTGAGGATAGTACACAGTACTTGGGTTTCCTTGTATTCCCAGCTTCTTGTACACATCTTTGATGAATTGCGAGACGAATTGGGAACCTCTGTCAGACATGATATGTTCGGAAAGTCCATGCTTTGACCAGACATGTTTGACGTAATTATTCGCCCAGCCCTCTGACGTCAGCTCATCCGTGGTTGGTACTGCGACGAAGTCTTTGGACTTCATATCGACTATCACAAGTATGGCGTTATATCCTTGTGATGGCGGTAAATGTGATATCATGTCTACAGATATATATTGCCAGTTTCTCTCAGGAATAGGATTAGGGTGTAGAGGAGTAGCCTTCTGTTGATGATTTATTTTTGTCTTTTGGCATATATCACATCCTTTTACATAGGTTTTTACGTCTTTCTTGATGGTATGCCACCAATAGGACCTATAAATTAATTCCTGCATTTTCATCTGTCCAGGATGTCCGGCAGAAATTGAATCATGATGTGAAGTGATAATTAAACCTCTGAGCGGCTTGTCATTGGGAATAACAATTCACCCCTTTCTCCAGGTCAGGCCATCCTCAGTCTGAGAGAAGTCCTTGTCTTTTTGTAATATTTTCATTTTTATGGATTCTTCATAATTATTGACATGGGATAATATTTTGGTTTTTAATCCTTCGGTGCCTAGCACTTCCGCGTTTCTGAACCAATGGGGTTTTAATAAAATAATATTTTCATTATTGGAGTCGCCTTTATCGTGATCCGGTCTATGGGATAAAGCGTCTGCTCTAACCATGGTCTTGCCAGGTTGATGTATTAGAGTGAAGTCATATGCTTGTAGTTCTAAGACCCAGCGCACCTGGCGTTGGTTGAGTTTTTGTGGCTTTCTGAAGTATTCGAGATTTTTGTGATCTGTATAGATCTCGAACTTCTGACTGGCACCGTGAACGAAATTGTCCCATTCGTCGAGTGCAGTCATGATCACCAGCATTTCTCTGTCATAGATTTCATAATTACATTCAGCTGGGTTGAGACTTTTAGATAGGAAGGCAATTGGTTTCCATATTTTTTTTCTTTTTGTGAGAGCACGGCTCCTAGTGCATATTTGGCTGCGTCGCATTCCAGGTGATATGGATCATTGTCATTAGGTACTGCCAGTACTGGTGCATCTGTTATGGCCTTTTTGAGGGACTCAAACGCTTCCTCTTGCTCTTGTCCCCATGTCCACTCGGCTTGTCCGGTGAGTTTGGTCGTGGGTTGAGTTATGGCTGCAAAATCTTTTATGAATTTGCGGTAAAAGTTTGCGAAGCCAAGGAATTGTTGGATGACCTTCTTATTGGCTGGCGTGGGCCATTGGGTAATGCCTTGGACCTTTTCAGGGTCCATCTGTACTGTTCCTTTTCCAATGATGTGTCCTAAATATTTGGTCTCTTGAGTCTCAAACTCGCATTTTTCTGGCTTGCAGGTTAATTTATGTTCTCTGAGAATTTCTAGAACCTGCTTGACAACCTTTCGATGTTCATCAAGATTTTCAGAGAAAATAAGTATATCATTGAGATATACTATAACTATTCCTTGCATAATTAACTCCCTGAAGATGTCGTTCATCATGGTTTGCAAGGTTGCCAGACTATTGGTCAATCCAAAAAACATGACGAGCGGTTCATAAAGCCCCCGATTGGTGATAAAGGCGGCTTTTTGCTCATCTCCTTCCTTCATATGAATATTATTGTATCCCCAGCGAATGTCTAATTTCGTATAATATTTGGCATTTTTTAATTTATTGATGAGGTCCAAAATGAATGGTAAGGGGTATTTGTTTTTCTTTGTCATATCATTCAGTTTGCAATAGTCCTGAATGGGACGTAGCTTGCCGTCTTCTTTCTTGACAAAGAAGAATGGCGCCCCCAGGGCGACTTGCTAGGTCGGATCCTGCTGGTTTTTAGGTTTTTTTTCTAGGAATTCATCCAACGCTTTCTGTTCATCGATTGTCATTGAGTATACTTTTCCAGAATATGGTTTGCTGTCTGGTAAGATTTCAATGACGTGGTCCCATGGTCAATGTTCCAGAAGTGTGTTGAATGTATCCTCTTTAAATACGTCACTGAATGGGCGGTACTGTTCTGGGACCAATTCTTGGAATGTTTTTGCCTTTTTCGATTTATTGGCCTCAATAGCAATGTCCAAAGCAGTGGCTTGCAGCCTTTTTGTAGATAAATAATGGGCATATTCTTGTTTGTTTTGGATTTTCTGTCTAATCCAAGTATTGGGGTCGATCATAAATACTGAGTCTTCTTCCTCGATCTTTGTTGAGGTCATGTGACTTGGTCACTTGACTGAGGTCCAGAATGTCTCAGGTGAAGAACATACAAGAACACACTGGAACATTCCAGAAGGAGACTTGTCTAGAACAGTCTGGAAGCACTATCTGGACCTGTCTGGAATGGACCTATCTGGACTCCTCTGGAATAGTCCAGGAGGTTCCATGGACTTGACTGGACTGGTGTAGACTCTGCCTGGAATGGTCTGGCTGGTCTTGGACTCTTAGTCATCCCTTAGTAACATTCCTTTACTCATCCCTTTCACATAGTATATAAGTAGGACCTAAGTCAGTCTGTGTCCCCTCAGTCTTGACACAGTTGACTTAGGTGAGTTGTATCCTATACCCTCTTTTGAATATAAAGTCTTGACACAGTTGACTTAGCCACTGGGCTGTCCGAGGGTTGCTTCCAGTAGCCTAACAGGTTATGAGCCCAAAGCTCTGACCCCTGACACCCTATTTTGCCTGTCCACCACTGTTGTCCCTGCACCATTTGTGCTTTGTTCTTGTGCCATCTGCACTTCTTCCTTGATCCAAAGGCAAGCATCCCTTTTGTGGTGTGTGCATCCCCTTTAGTGGGGAGTGAACTCTTGGGTCTGTGTCCTTCAGTGGGCCTGCCTTTAACCTTCCCTGGAATATCCTGGTAGTCATCCCAGTGACTGGGGCAGTGGTACAACTGCACTCTCAGCAAAAATACAGTAGAATTAGCCTCTCCTTTCCTGCGCACACCCTAAAAGGCAAAAACTCGAACTTGATTTCTTTTGTTCTGCTGCATCCATTCATCATGTCTCCATCTCCTCTCTCCTTCCCAAAGCTGAATAACCATAATTATCAGCAATGGGCTTTAAACATGGAGGCCAGGCTCAGGACTTCCTATGCCTGGAGGATTACTCAGGGGACAGAGCAGAGGCCAGTCTTCTCTCCTCCCCTTGATGCAGCAGCACACAAGGAATTGAGGGACTATGTGTTCAACTGGGAAGCTGGCAAGCGTCCAGATACACACAGAGATGCCTGAGTCAAGCTCTATTAATGCTAAGGAAGAGAGCTTGACTCAGGAGCACATTTGCGCTCTTCTGGGAGCGTGGGAACCAACTGTACAGTATGGGAAATGGAAGGGAAAAGTGCAGAGTTGAAGGGGCTAAGTCACCAGGGTGAAGGAAGCCAAAATAGCGAAGTGGTTACCAGCACTAGCAGGGATGCATACCTGGAGGTTTTGGTTCAATCCCCAGTCAGCGCACTTTTTACCTCCAATACTATGGCTCCTGGGCTGATGATATGGAGGCCTACCTCAAGACTCTTGACCTCTGGGACGTCACTAGCGACCCTACAGCCGCTCCTGAGCTCTACTCGGAGACTACACCCACCATCGAAGACAAGAGGGAGCAGAGGAAGTGGGAGGCGCGAAAGGGGAGAGCTGCTGGAGAGATATGGTTGGCATTGGAGGATGGACAGAAGGTGCATGTGAAGGAGGTGAAGAAGGATCCGTTGAAGATGTGGGAGAAGTTGAGGGAGGTCCATGTTCAGCAGAAGCCTGGTGCGCGTTTCAACGCTTATGATGTTCTCCTGGGCTTGAGGAAGGATGAGGGCGAGTCCCTGGTCTCTCTGATGGCTAGAGCGGACAAGGCCATGCAGGATATCCACTCCCTTCGCCCTAAGGACTTCACCATTGAGCAGCTGGATGAAGAACTCGCTTCCATGTCTCTCATTCGCTCCCTCCCTGCTGAGTACAACAACTTCGTCTCTTCCTTGCTCCTGCTCGACTCTCTCAGCCTCTCGAAGCTCCAGAGCGCGTTCCAGAACGAGGAGACT